TATATTTGGCCTTGGTCTCCGTTCACTTTTCAATGTTCTGGAGACTTTGTGTGGCCCTTTCTCTCCTATTGCAGGTGTCCATATAGAGATTCTTCTTTAAGAGCCCAAAGAAGCTATTCGCTATTCTGAGGAGAAATTAGTGCAAGAACTCTCCAGCTCCTCCTCCTCTATCCCCCTCCTTGCTCCTAGTGCCTCCGCTCTTTTTGCATATGCAGTCCAGTGGAACATTGAAGCAGAATCTGTTCCGAGGGGGATTACTTTTTCCACACTTGAATGGTAAGTGATTACGTGACTGCTCTCTCCGCACCTGCGAGATTGCGTCTTTTGGTTGTCCATCTCTTCGTGCTTGGAACATTGTGGCTCTCACAGGAAGCAAACGGGACCTACTTCTAGGTGATAGTGTGAGCTAGGGGTATTTTTTGGGAGGTTGTAGATGTTGACCACAGGGAGCAGTGTGGGGTCCAGGGAGTGGAACACAAAATGCGTTTGATGCCAGCGCCCATCATGTATCTAAAAGTCCAAAACGCAAAGAAAACAAAGAATATCATTAATTCTGCAGTGATATAATCAAAAAGAGATAACAGTTTTCAACATTTTAACCCTACCCAACAAGAATCCTCCAGAACGTCTGGCTCAAGATCTCCTCCCACTTCAAACACCTCCCCGGTCCAGGACTTGAATTTCACAGACTTTTTGCCAGTTTGCTGCTCTTCAGCTGATCTCCAAACCGAGACATCCAGACAGTGGATGATGATGTGCTGAATGGCCTCTGAACTCAACAGGTGCAGGAAGTTCATCTGGACTCGACCAACACTCATTGTTGGCTGCAGAAGATGAGGGGATGAGCAAGTCGGTTTGCTTTGTCAATGCATAATATCACAGAGTCTGTTATTGTGCGTTGCATACCTTGGATGCTGTTATTGGTTTAAGGCAAGTCTGTCCACCTCCAGTAAAGTTGCAAGAGACTTCTATTTTATCTGATGAGCAACCCAAGTTGGGGTCAATCCAATAGGTGCCTGAAAATTCAAACACATTTTGAATAAACTACCTGCCTGTGAATATATATTTTACATGTAACAACCATTAAGTTTCTTTACCATCATTTAACTTCTGTTCACAGCTGTGCAGGTCCCTGCAGATGCGGGCCGGGTTGTCCCGAGTCCCCAATGGGTTTTTCAGGCTCTGGATCAAGTTACTGAGGTAGTGGAGGGTCTTAAAGATCTCTGCCCCCTGGTCCAGCATTGGCAGGTCCATCACTGGCTTATGCTGGACCACAGAGAACAAGAGTCAGCGTTTTCAACACATTAAAAGGCAAGATGAAACAGAAAAACATTGCAAGGCACTGACCTTAGTCCTCGAAGGAGTGGGTGAATCAACAAACAATTGGCCATCTTCCTTCTGCAGAAAAGACAACAAATCCAATGTAATAAAAACCACTGCATCCTTCTGGATTATATTTTACAGCAAATTACTTTGGATATATTAAACTTTAAAAAAATCTGCACAATAACTTACAAATGATAGAGGAACACCCGGGGGTCCCTGAAAAAAGAAAAAGAAATGTTATGTAGTTAATTTTTTTTAATGGGAACATTACGTTTTTGTAAACTAATAAAAGTGGAAAACATACTGGAGGTCCTGGGAGGCCACGAAGTCCTGGAGATCCCTTATATAAAAAAAGAAAAACACACAATACATTGACTTGGACTTCTATGCTTTTTGTCAAGTGTCCACATTAACATGAACAATGTCTGCTTCAACCAAAAGGAAACAATGCAACATATATTAAACATACCCGTGGACCTTGAAATCCCTGTTTGGAGAGAGAGAGGATATAAAATCATTGTTGATTTTATCATTCATCTTCTTTCTTAAACGAGCAAATACTGTAAACTATATGTTAAAAACATTTCAAGAGTGTCAGAGAACTTACAGTCTCTCCTCGATTGCCCTTCTGTCCTCGAGGGCCCTGCAAGAGGTTGTTCAGAGTCAAATCAGTACTGAGTAACCATAGCAAAGAGTACTTTAAGGTCTATTTAGTGTATAATACATACTGCACTTCCATTAGGACCTATGATTCCCACAGGGCCAACAACTCCTCCTCTGCCCTGATAGGAAGAAACAAAATGAGACGATGTAAAATGGGCAGTGGAGCAAATTCTCAGAAACCTCTCTGTATTATCATTTCCTTTACCATTACACCTTGTGGCCCCTTTGGGCCCCGTATGCCCGTTGGCCCATTGTCCCCGGGAAGCCCCTGAAAACAGTCAAGTCACATTTATTTATATAGCACATTTAAAACGGTAACTGTTATCAAAGTGCTTACCAAAAAAGATCACAGCATCAAATATTAATAACAAGATATTACAGCAACATGAATAAAAGCATAAAAACATTAACTATAATGAGAAACAATGAAATACTAAATCAAATCACCCTGTGTTAAATGTCAGGGAGTAAAAGCAAAATGGATGAACACAATCATCAACAACGAAATACCAAATGAGATCACACTGTGTTAAATGCCAATGATTACAGATGTGTTTTGAGGAGAGATTTAAAAATAGAGACTGAGGTGGCCTGTCGAATGTTGATGGGCAGATTATTCCAGAGTTTAGGGCCCATGACTGAAAACGCCAGATCTCCTCTGAGCTTCAGCCTGGTTTTTGGTACGGCCAAAAGCAGCTGGTCTGATGATCTCAAGGCCCAAGAAGGAGTATAAGGATGAAGGAGATCGGAGAGGTATGAGAGTGCAAGGCCATTAACACACTTAAATGTCAGCAGAAGAATCTTAAAATCAACTCTGACACACACAGGAAGCCAGTGAAGAGAGGACAGAACTGGAGTAATGTGCTCGAACCTGCAAGTTCCTGTTAGTAGCCGAGCTGCAGCCTTTTGGACAAGCTGGAGATGTGAGAGAGAGAGACCTGACTGACCCCAGCATAAAGAGAGTTACAGTAGTCCAGCCGGGTTGTAATAAATGCATGGACTAATTTTTCAAGGTCAGATCTGGACAGGACGGACTTGAGCTTAGCTATCTGCCTTAGCTGAAATAAGCTTTTTTGAAGAACAGAATTTATCTGCTTATTAAACTTAAAGTCCGAGACTAAAACTATCCCGAGATTGGTAACAGACTGTTTTAGATATGGCTGAAGGGAGTCCAGGTTTGCAGGATCAGTGACAATGGCAGAGCTATGGTTAAACACAATGACCTCAGTCTTCTGATCATTAAAACTCAAAAAGTTTGCAGTCATCCATGTCTTGATGTCATCGAGACATTTTAACAAAGGGCGAATGGAGGAGGAACGGTTAGGTGTTAACGGCAGATAAATCTGAGAGTCATCAGCATAACGATGAAAGGAAAGACCATGTTTCCTCAGGATAGACCCTAAGGGGAGGAGATACAAAGAAAACAGAAGGGGTCCATGAATGGAGCCTTGCGGGACCCCGCAGGAAAGAGGTTAGAGGGTAGAGTGTTAGCAAAATTAACACAGAAACTC